ATGAAATTGTTAAAATTACCACCAAGTGAAAAAGCTCACAACTTTCCTTCTGTGAGGATTGGATTTTTATAGGCATCCGAATATGGGTTAGTGTTAGCTTTTACCCAATTTCTTGCATGGTCCAAGTAGAGACAGCTATCTTCTTTGTACCGCCTTTCATTTGTTTATTGTGTTGATCTGCACTTTGTGCGTTTCCTAGTATAATTCTTTTTCATAAGGTCTTTACCCGATGTATATGGTTTTTGGCATATGGGTAGCTTTTTAAACAACTATTTTTTGTTCCTCACGTCGAGATCTTGTTACCTGGGTTGGTATTTGCTTGGTGAGTCTGGTTGGGTACACCATTAAATCCCCCAGTATAAAGGGTAAATAATTGTGACATCCCTAACGTCACAGACAGAAAAGATCGATTTGTTTATGCTTATATAAAAATCAGAGTATCCTTTTGAAGAATAATATTACGGAATTTGTTCCGAAAAACATGATAATTATATTATCAAAGCATTTATGAGGAAATGTATTTTATTTATATTAAAACGTTGGGATCTCATCGTCAATACATAAACATGAGAATAACGAAATAAACAAGCCTTATAGTAATTAAACTAGTGGCCTAATGCTCCCTCAATCTCTCGGTGGAATATATCTATAATATTGCTACCTATGATACAATAAACTAAGTGGGTCAGGTGGGTCAGGTTGGGAAACCTGATGAGTACATAGGTGATGTGCACGGAAGTACCAACTAGTTTTAATATTTATAACCTAACAAACTTAGACTAACTATGCACTTATAGGCAGTGTACCTAGTCTGATTACAGTATAGCTTAGGTAAGTTGGGTGTTGATCACAGGGAACGGTGGTGAATTAATTTAAAATATTTGATTATAGGTTACAAAACACAAAAAAGGAATAAAGAATTTGTTATTAAATCTCAAATGAGCAATTAAATAACAAATCTCGATAAACTAACAGGAAAACAAATCTCTTCTGGTACTTTGGTTTAGATAAATTACACCTAAAAAGCATAGACAATTGCATACACAAATTTATTTATTCATGTTCACCGATTCCTAAAATGATTAGATTTACATTCACTATTACTAATCCTTTAGCAAACAAGTCAATTCAAATAGTGATCAGTTGATTAAACTAACATGTTTCCTAGTGTTCAGTTCGTATCAAGCACAACTTGTAATAATAGTTAATCAAATTGGTCATTCAATTAACCTCTTGTTGATGGTCATTAAACAACGCTCACATATTAACTTATTTATTCCCAAGTTAATCCTAGTTTCACATTTGTTATTCCTAGACTTATAATCTTGATGGTCATCAAAGTCATAAGATACAAGCAATGAAGCAGATGTTCATACAACTTAATTTACTTGACAATTAACAACAAATAATTATCATCAACACATGAGGATCTTTTAACAAGCTTGACAAGATAAATTAAACATAAACAAACAATTTAATCTAGCAGTTAATCTATAAATCAAGGTTTAATTCAATCATAAACGCAAAGTAAAAGGTTTTTACACCCAAATCAGAAACTAAACACATAATAGTAACACAGTGGAATGCTAAACATGGTCACGTTAACAACCCACATGATTACCGACATGTATCCGCTCTCCAATCCTTCCGATCTTTGCTCCTGTTAGCGTAACGGCCTTCCGGCCGCCTTCTAGACCCTCAAAACTGCTTAACAGCAGTTAATTATCGACTAAATTAGGTTAGAAGTCGAATCCCCCTTTCTGGTTAGCTGATAATTGCTTTTTATAACCCTTGGAACCGACTTACGTACGCTGGGCGTATGTCGGATTACGCTAGGCGTGCTCAGAATTTTGCCGCGAAGAGGAAACCCGGATGCAAGCCGTTACGATGGGCGTAACCGTAAATTACGCTGGGTGTAACCTGTGTTTGGCTATTACGCTAAATGTACTTAGCAATCACGCTGGGCGTAATTGACTCCTCCAACATTTTTTCTTTCTTTTTGCTTCTAAGCCCTAATTCCGCTCCAGTCTTTTCTTTTGTGCTCTATCGACAACTAATAGCTGCAAATCATAATTCAAAGCATTATAAGTACGTTTTAGTTCTAGAAGAGAATAATAAAGGCTAAAATATTAAAATATAATGTATAAAAATATATATAAAAATACACATATCAAAATACCCCACACTTAGCCTTTGCTTGCCCCCAAGCAAATTTACTTTTATTTTACCAATATCGCACTAAACAATCCATTTAAAACTCAGCCGTTATGTCAAGACCGCAACGCATGCATTTGTGTCTAAATTTTTTCCTAAGGACCCCCTAATTCTAAATACTCACAATCCTCATAAACACTCATCCACTTCTTTTGAACAATGCTCATTTTATGCATCCCTCCGAATCCATCCCCAGAAAACTTCTTAACCTCAAGGTATTTTTGGTCAAGCAACCCAAGCATACATAATCTAGAAAATTACAGTTTTTGATACCACAATGGAGCTCTTTGAATTCTTCACTTCTTTGATAATTTGATCTTGATTTCTTTGAATTCACCACCTTCTTTGATTTTTGGTATCTTCAACTTTTTGAATCTTCAGAATTTTGATCTTTTGATCTTCACTTTAATTGCTCCAAAATTCTTACAACTTTTCTTGTAATTCTCTCTTTTTTTTACACGTACCTCACTTTTTTTTCACTCAAAATCCTACATGTTTAAGCAAGGGCGCTCAACTTCAACCTTTATTGGTTAGAGTATTAGTTTTCCTCGATACATTTCAGGTACAGGCTGCTAAACATATTGCATCCCTCAAACTAAGCGAAGTTGTGTTTTTGTCTCATGATTTCACTAGAATAAGGGAGCCACAAATGCACTATAACGTGTATTGGCTTAACTAAACATTTGAGTTCTCATCGGATCATCTCATACAATATTAGCAAAATTTTAAATTATCACTAGATTTTTCTAAATTAAACTATTATTTCAAGTTTATAAAATTTTTTTAAATTTTCCTAAATCTAGCAATTTTCAAACTATTATTTCAGTTTTTAATTTACTTTTATCGACCCCCTACCCCACACTTTTTTCATACAATGCCATCATTGTATGCATAAAACTAATTAAGCACATAAAAAGGAAGAAAAAGGAACAGACTCCCCTGGGGTAGTTGTGGCGAGATCGAATGGGGCTGCTACAAGTTGCTCCAAATATTGCTAAAAGACTGGAAACTGGAACTACTGCTTCTAAATTTTCAAGAATGCCAACTTCTAAGATGTGGTGCAAAGATTGCAAATAAATGCAATATTTAGTAACCGTGACGTGGGAAAGTGTCAACCACTTCGTTTCGTCAAGAATGGCAATCTCTTCTTGCGATGAAAACTCCCCCACGACATAGGAAAGTGTCAACCATGTTGTGGCAGCCGGGATGATATTTCTATCGTGCGTCAAAACAAAATTCTATGGTATGGGAACATCTCATCCATATCATAAGAGTCAAAATATAGTAAAAATGCCACTCTTCTAAATAATCTCTCACGAAATCAATATGCACCCCACACTTATGAAAAATCCTGGGTCTTGAATATAATCTTCGAACTCTCTCACGACTCTCCTTAGCAACAGTCGGACCTAGCTGCTGAACTTACTGCTACCTTTCTAAGGGCGAAAATTCTGCAAAGATCTAAACAACCAAAGAGCATCAACATGGAAAAACAAGAGTACCAAAATAAAAACAACCTAAATTAAACTTAATTACATACCAAATAAAAATACTAATACTAAGCAATGCAAAAATAAACTAAAAATAACACAAAAAGATAAAAAGGATAAACTAAATCACTCGTCATCCTCGTCATCATGTTGTTGTGTCCTAGATGTACCGGCTCTGTCACGTCTTCACTGAAATGGTGGAGGAAAAAGAACCGAGTACTAAAACCCCTGGAGGGCAAAGAATGTGGTCAACGCATCCCCATACCACTGCTGTTGTTTCTCCACGTGTGCAACGCGCTCACCCGGGCTCTGAACTCCCTCGTCAATGCGGTCAATACGCTGAGCCAGGTAACGCATATCAATCTCCGGCTCAGGTCCCTGCTGTGCTCCCCGAGGTGCAGGTCTACGCCGTTGGGCTCATCGCGGCTGTGGCTCGACCGCACCCTCCTCCTCCACCACATCATCTGGTCGTACCCGCAAGACACCATCCTCGCCCCGCTCAAGTACATGCATCGACTCCAATAGCTGACGGCTCATCGGCCTCATATCATGAAACACCATCGATCTCGTAATATCATGCGTCAACAGCTGATAGGATCGTGCTAATAGCGTAATAAACTGCCCCCCGCAAATCGGGCTATCCTCCTGAAGTCCCCTGGCCCTCCTACCCAAATAAGCGGCTAAAGCAACTGGAAGGTTCAGGTGCCTCCCTGGAGTAACAAGTGCCCATAAGAAATATAAGTCTGTCGAAGGCACTCTCTCACTATTCTTATGGTGCATGAGAGATATGGAAATCAGATGGTGCAGCAGTCTATATGTGGACCGAATCATCCTCCCCCGTGTAGTAGATCGTGTGTACACTCCCCCAGTAATCTTTGCCCAGAAAGTTTTTTCATTGTAGTCATCCGGCCGGTTCATGAGACAATCAGCAAGGAATGCCGCAAAATGGACACTCCTCATCTCATCTACTGTATATATCACAACTCAAGTTGCAAGCTCAACTGCACTGCACTCCCGACTCACACCTCCCAGTCTAAAGGAAAAGGATGTCCTATCGTCGGGTGTCTTCCTAGGGTCATAGGAAACTGTAGCGTAAAACTCCAGCAAAAATTCCCGATACACAGGCTCCTGGATCCTGAACAATCTTGCCCATCCCTGACATACGAACAATTGCACGCCACTTGCATCCGAGTGCATGTATTGCAAAAAATCCTTGATTAGCACAGCAAGTCCAGTCTGGGTTGCCAATTCACAGTCGAATGAAGGTGCTATGTCGATCTCCTTAGTGAGCAGCAGACTCAGATTGTTGACATATCTGGCCCAGGTTGCATTATTTAGAGTTTGCGGGAATTGCAAGAAATGGTGATCGGTCACGTCCTTGGGTGGGTTGGTCCTTTGAGTTCTTCGGGCCATAATCTACACAAATAAACACCAAACACAAAACCAAACAGAATAATTCCAGCATTAACAGATTTAGACTGAAAAAAAAATAATGGTGCTTGGGTATGTTGTACGCTGGGCGTACGTCCAACGTACGTTGGGCGTACATCCAGATTCTCAAAACTGTCCCCCCCTGTTTGCTCTAAAGTCATAATAATACACTACACAAGTATATGTGCAAGAGTATTCTACAAGACATTCAAATATGGGGTATTTTACAAGGCAGAAAAAAAAACGGGACCAAACCTAAGCATATGTCCAAGAACTCAAACCTGTTTCGTGATCGTTCTTTGTCTATCCATGATTAGCGAACATTTAACAATTATACACAGGGAGAGTTCGTAGGGGTAGTCAAAAATCGAGGAGTCTACAGGGCGTATGCTAGGCGTTCGTCCACAAACTCGAATCGATGGGTAGTGCTCAGGATTAAAGCCAAATTAAGTCCTAGGGTTTAGTCTAATGGTCTGAATCGGTCGATTAAGACATAATCAAACAACAGATTTTTGAAATCGACCCCAATTGACGAAGGGTATAAACCCTAGAACTCTATTTAGGCTAAATGAAACTAATCCCACTATTTAAACACAAATTAACGTGATATGGCTTCCGAATAACATACCTTTATGTCGATTCCTACAAGAAAAGAAGAAAAATCGAAGATCTATTGGAGGTATTCGGCCGTCTCAGTGTGTGTGCGAAGGAAGAGAAGTTTGAAAGAATAAAAAAAAAAGTCAAAGGGTAAAAAGATATAACATGTCGTCGATTTACGCTGGGCGTAAATTCAAATGTACGCGGGGCGTACCTCCAATTCCGAGTAGAAGTCATCCGCGATCAGAGGTTGAGTACGCTTGGCGTAATTTCAATTACCCTGGGTGTAATTTAACTAAAATATTTTCCTTTTCCTTGTTTGAAATTCCTTTTTCCAACTAATAAATTTGGGAAATTCTAAATATAAAATTTTTTTAATTGCTTCAACAACAGCCATAACTTTCCGATGAGTGACATATTTTTTTTTAAAAAAATGAGACATCATGATCAATTGTCTTTGTCGAGATCAAACAACATTAGTTGATTAAAACCCTTGCACGCAAGAAATGGTTTGTGAAAACAACAACTTTCGGGACCCGTTAGAGTATTTCCTTTGTTTTATTCGTACCTTTAACTAAAAGTAGAATAAGAAGTGGCCCAACTAGTCAAGAACAACAAGAGCTCGGTCTTCTACTTAACCACCACAATATGCCTTGCTATACTACGCCCCATGGATTGAGTTGGACAAATCAACAAAGTAGTAGGCTAAGCAAGTCAAGAATTCCCTAATCGCTTGCATTCTCGAAACCCATGCAAAAGGTAAAGTCAATCAATGTGTACGATCCTAAATTCCTGCAAGTAACAACAAGAACCTTCCCGACAAGTGAAATGATATCATCGAAAATAACACTAAAAGAAATAAAAACTAAAAATAAAAACGAATAACAAATAATCAAATAAAATAAAATAATTGGAAGCCGTTCCCCGGCAACGGCGCCAAAAACTTGATGTGCACGGAAATACCCACTAATCTTAATATTTATAACCTAGCAAACTTAGACTAACTATGCACTTATAGGTAGTGTACCTAGTCAGATTACAGTATAGCTTAGGTAAGTCGGGTGTCGATCACAGGGAACGGTGGTGAAATAATTTAAAATATTTAATTATAGGTTACAAAACACACAAAAGGAATTAAGAATTGGTTATTAAATCTCAAACGAGCAATTACATAACAAACCTCGATAAACTAACAGGAAAACAAATCTCTTCAGGTACTTTGGTTTAGATAAATTACACCTAAAAAGCATAGACAATTGCATACACAAATTTATTTATTCATGTTCACTGATTCATAAAATGATTAGATTTTCATTCACTATTACTAATCCTTTAGCAAACAAGTCAATTCAAATAGTGATCAGTTGATTAAACTAACATGTTTCCTAGTGTTCAGTTCGTATCAAGCACGACTTGTAATAATAGTTAATCAAATTGGTCGTTCAATTAACCTCTTGTTGATGGTCATCAAACAAGGCTCATATGTTAAGTTATTTATTCCCAAGTTAATCCTAGTTTCACATTCGTAATTTCTAGACTTATAATCTTCATGGTCATCAAAGTCATAAGATACAAGCACTCAAGAAGATGTTCATACAACTTAATTTACTTGACAATTAACAACAAATAATTATCATCAACACATGAGGATCTTTTATCAAGCTTGACAAGATAAATTAAACATAAACAAACAATTTAATCTAGCAGTTAATCTATAAATCAAGGTTTAATTCAATCATAAAAGCAAAGTAAAAGGTTTTTACACCTAAATCAGAAACTAAACACATAATAGTAACACAGTGGAATGCTAAACATGGTCACGTTAACAACCCACATGATTACCGACATGTATCCGCTCTCCAGTCCTTCCGATCTCCGCTCCGGTTAGCTTAATGGCCTTCCGGCCGCCTTCTAGACCCTCAAAACGGCTTAACAGTAGTTAATTATCGACTAAATTAGGTTAGAAGTCGAATCCCCCTTTCTGGTTAGCTGATAATAGCTTTTTATAACCCTTGGAACCGACTTACATACGCTTGGCGTACTGAGAATTTTGTCGCGAATGGGAAACCCGGGTGCAAGCCGTTACGCTGGGCGTAACCATAAATTATGTTGGGCTTAACCTGTGTTAGGCTGTTATGCTAAGCGCACTTAGCAATTGCGCGGGGCGTAATTGACTCCTCCAACATTTTTTTTTGCTTCTAAGCCCTAATTCCGCTCCAGTCTTTTCTTTTGTGCTCTATCGACAACTAATATTTGCAAATCATAATTCAAAGCATTATAAGTACTTTTTAGTTCTAGAAGAGAATAATAAAGGCTAAAATATTAAGATTTAATGTATAAAAATATATATAAAAATACACATTTCAATAGGGTTTTCAATCCCACTATCTTATAACATATATCTATATATATATATATATATATATATATATATATATATATATATATATATATATATATATATATATATATATATAGTAGAGCTCACAAGATACAATTTCACCTCATATAAGCAATTTACCCTACCCTGTCGATTCTCACAACGACACGATCCATACTTTCAGATCTAAAAGGAATGACTTTACCTAATTCATACTCACGGATAAGGTATGAATGACTATGTCTAATCCATGCTCTAGGATCAATGACAAATGACTATGCCTAATCCATACTCTCAGACTAAGGATGAATGACTATGTCTAATCCGTGCTCACAGATTAATGACAAATGACTATGCCCAATTCATGCTTTCCGACTAGGCACGGATGTCTATGTCCAATCCATGCACTTGGATCAAAGACAAGCGTTAGAGTTCTACCCTCCATCTATATCTCACCCGTACTCTTAAGGAGATACTACCTGATATTCATTTTAATTAATATAGGTCTATTTTGTAAGTCCTAAATCATCATATATTATCAAATATGTTTTTAACACGTATTCCAGTCAATATAAAATATCTTACACATAAACTCTTTAACATATATTTAATACTTTAATTAATAATTTTATTAAAATCATGTTCATGATAGGACTATGCACTCACCTGTTAAAGTGACGATTCGAAACTCGGACAACGCTTCGCTTCTAGAAAATGTATTTTCCTTTGATGTAACCCAATATCATTATCACTAAGTCTCAGTCTAATATTTATTGTGAATAATTATTAGTATAGATTCATCATTAATTTAAATTCTTACTAATCTATAACTGATAAGGGACAACCAGGTAGGATCATATCAGAGGTAGGGTCCATTTGTTATACAAAGTATATTGTTTGGAAATCCTTCTTTAAACACCTCACTAAATCTAGCCTACACATCATCACTGTAAGTAGATCAATTAGTATAACGACTGGTAATCACGAGTAAATCTTGTTTATAGGTTCATAATAACGATAATGAACTTAAACATGATTTATACTTAAAGCACAATAAGCATAACTCAACTTACTAGTGGTTTAGAGAAAAATCGAAATCTATGCGGGCATACTTCTAAACCAAAAGCATTATTTCTCGGGTCTTTCTGGCACTCCATAGCTTCACTACTAACACTTAGGAAGTGATAGAGAAAGGCATTGAGCCCTTGGGGGTCTGGACGAGAATAAAATGGGAATGTGTGAAGAAAGGAGTGAAATTCGGCTTCTATTTATAGGCTACCAGGAGCCTAGTACGCTAGGTGTACACAAATTATGTTGGGCGTATTAGGGGCCACGTATCAGCATCAGATCGCAAGTCTTCAGGAGGAAGGAGTGTGTCAAATCGCAATACATGTTTCCCTCTTGTTAATCAGAAAATTAATTATCTTGTAAATCTGTAATTTTTGCATACTTCCTCCATTTTTGATGTTCTATATGTCCACGCATAGCTATCGACTAGATCTATAATTTTTTTAGACTCTGTTGGCTAATTTTGACTTTAGTTTTAAAGTTATATTTTAACAGTCTTAGATAGTTAAATTCCTTTAAAAGTTCATAACTTTGTCATCCGACGTCCATTTTCAACTGTCTTTATATCGTTGAGCTCCTATTAACGAGATCTTCAATTCTCGTTTAGATTGTGTCGGCTAATAATCGATCGATCTAAAATTTGATTTATGAGCTATACACTGTTATGCTGAATCTTAGAAAAATCATAACTTCCTCAAATGAAGTCAGATTTAGACGTTCTCTATATGTACAGTCTCGGCTTAACAACTACTTCAACTTTCAGTTCGATCACTAAGGCTAAAAAGTAATTTATCAAAAATTTACTTTTTACGATATGTAGAGTCGTGCCAGTTTATTCATGAAACTTCAAGGGGTCATAAATTCTTCATTATAAATCATATTTCAATGTTCTTTATATGTACAGAATCATTGTGACATATACTATTAATTTGGTTCA